CTAACTAGAAGCGTCTGCCTCAGATAAACATTATTCTCTTCATTGTACAACAAGGAAAACAGGGCTCAAAGAGGCTGAGTAATGTGATCATAGCTTGGATTTGAATTCAGGCCTTATGATTGCAAAATCAGGGCTTTTTGATAAGAATTTATTTATTGGGGGCAGGAATTTTTTATGAGAGCACAGTTGATTTACAATGTGTTAGTTTCATGTGTACAGCAAAGTGATTCAATTTTACATATATATATATGTACACACACACTTTTTCAGGTTCTTTTCCATTACAGGTTATTACAAGATATTGAGTATCGTTCCCTGTGCTATACAGTAGGTCCTTGTTGGTTTTCTATTTTATATATAATAGTATGTATCTGTTAATACCAAACTCCTGACTTATCTCTCCCCTCCCCCATCTCCCCTTTTGTAACCATAAGTTTGTTTTCTGTGTCTGTGAAAGAAGTTATTTTATTTATTTCTTTATTTATTTTGCGGTACCTGGGCCTCTCACTGTTGTGGCCTCTCCCGTTGCGGAGCACAGGCTCCGGACGCGCAGGCTCAGCGGCCATGGCTCACGGGCCCAGCCGCTCCACGGCATGTGGGATCTTCCCGGACCGGGGCACGAACCCGTGTCCCCTGCATCGCCAGGCGGACTCTCAAGCACTGCGCCACCAGGGAAGCCCAGAAGTTATTTTTAAAATAGTTAAAACAACAAAAAATGTTGACCTCTTACCTTTATTCAGAAAACAAACAAAAAGAAACCATTTGCTAAAGATTCTGGACAGCAGAAGTGGGAGTAGGAGTTAGAAGGCGGGAAAGGATGAGATTTTCTGTGGGAACAGCACAATCTCATGCTTAAACAATGACAACAAAACCCCTCCATGCTTAAAAGCAGCCTTAAAGATTATGGAACATTTTCAGGCTAGTTTCCCACTGCTGGGTAAAAATTCATTGCCTTGTGGTTAGAATTCATTCTGACCTGGCAAAGTCATTTTATTGCTTCTATTAACTCTTAACTAGTGCTTGAGAATTAAAGCAGCTCTTAACAAACCTAACCTGAAAATCATCTCCAATTGCTATATGGTGTTTTCCAGAATGATTCATTTGATTCTCATTTCCCTAAACCTGGCTAGTTTTGCTGTTGTTGTTGTTTGGTGTTTTTTGCTATCATTGAGAAAAGGAAATGGTTTGATCTGCCCTGAAAGGCAGGTCCCCTGTGAATAGTGACAGGGATGAGGCTATTGGATATTTCCTACCAGCTCCCAGGGATTCTGAGGTTTGAAGGAAATGCAGAAGACATCAGAAATGGGTGCCAAGATCCCAGCTGAGAGGGGAGGGGTGGGCCTGCTTGAGAGTGCATCGCCCTGGCCGTAGTGTGCAAGAACGTACAACCCCCCACTGGTCTTGGGCACCTGACAGCCTGTGGCTTTTCCCTTAAGGGGATGGGCTGTGTCCTTACTTTGCTGTGTCCGTGCCTTGAACCTTGGGGATTCCCCTCCCTTAACTTTCACCACCTTGAACCTGGTTGGTTCTTGGCGCTGGACATGCGGACAATCCGGCCAAAAAGGATGGCGGAACAAATGTAGCCCAATCCCTGGTTCCAGCTACTGAGCATGGCTAATTCCTGCCCAAATGGTCATTTGGCAACTACAAAGAGCAAATTAATTACACTCCTGTGAGTTTAAGCAGCAGCAACAAGACGAAGGTGAAGTAAATAACACAGAGATTGGATCTGAAAAGGACCAGGGGTGGGAAAACTGTGTAAAACACACTTGGGGTAAAGAATCTGCACACAGATTAAATGTGATTGAAGGCTGGGAAAAACAAAAAGGGGGTTCCTGTTGGAAGATCACAGAACGCCCTGGCCCTCCTTGCTAATGCAGTTACAAGGTGTGCTTGTCCAATCACTGAAATAATGGAGCCTTCAAAGGATGTGGCTTGTGGGGTTTTGCTCAGCTTTGAGGATGGGGGGGCCAGGGAATTTCATCTTGCCAAGGGCTGAGGAGCTGCCTAGCACTGCCTGGGAAGCTGGCAGGAGGTGCTTTTCTAAGGATCTCGGGGTGGGACGTTTTTAATCTTGCAACTAGCGAAGATGGTGGGTAGTGCCTGGCAAAACTGGAATTGGGGAAGGAAGGAGCCCAAGCAAATTCTAGTATAAAAATCACATGAGAAGCTTGTTTGAAACGCAGATTCCCAAGGCCATCCATAAAAGATTCTGATTCAGTAAGTTGGGGTTAGGGTCTGGGAATCACAGGCAGTGTCTATGATTTGGGACCAGTAGCTCTCTGTCCCAGTTACTTTGCAAAAACTAAATGTGGTCTCTTCAAAAGTTAGCACTCAATCCAATTAGAGACTTGACTGATAAAAATACAAAAAAAAAAAAAAAGACTATTCTTTTGCCACCTCTCGTTCATTCACCTTTGGAGTTCTTTGGCCTAGTCACTGAAGAATAGTAACTTACCCAGGAATTACAGAACTATCAGAGGCAACAAAATATGATTCTAGTATCGATTTCTCCACAACTGCCATTACTTAGAGCAAAAGCCTGCCTTTGCCTGCCTGAAAGAGGGAAGGAGGGACAAATCAAGAAGGAGGTGATCCCTTCCTTTCAAGATTTCCTTTCGAGATATGAAGACTGAACACCTTTCTTCCAGAGGAAGGAAGTGCTGGGACCCCCAGAGATCCACAAGATTCATTAGGACTGTGCAGTAGCTTTAAGGTTTTTTCGCCAAGACCCATCCTAAAAATACATTTCAAGACACAACCTACGACACACACACACACTCCACATACATGTACCTATGTGTGGTATGTGTTTACGTGGAAACGTATGGAAAATGGAAACGCCTTATAAAACACGACTTGCCTTTACCGTGTGAAATGCACTCATATTTTCTATGCTCTGCCCTTTTTTCTTTTCCCTTCTCCCTCCCCCATCTTCCTTAATGATAGTCATGGTACCATAAAATGGTTTCATCTTGCTGTTTGAAAAGTGCTGGGGTCAGTGTAAGATTCCAACTGTTCTGAGTAGGAAAGAAGGGGAGAGGAGTTGGAATTGGAAAAGAGGTTTGTTTACTCATTTGTTCCTTCTTCCTTCTTCAGGAAGTAACTCTCTTCATTTATCCATTGTCTAAATTGGCCAAGACAGCATCCATATCCTGCAGAGAAGACTTTACAGTCTTAGAGGTTGATACATCAAAACAAGAGAAACGCTCCTCGGAATTTACTGATAAACAAAGAAGTCTTTTGGGGTAATGTGAGTATCAAAAAAAAGTAATAATGGCAATAGATTGAAGCATGCCAAATATATAAAAATCCGTGAGTTCCTAAAGATATTACAAAAAAGAAAGTCACTGACCACTTCTGGAGTTTTCTAGGATACTAATTCATTACTCTGAAAATTAAAAAAGAAAAATGTCAAGCATTAAAATTAATTACCTGATAATGTTATTTAATACCTATTTGTAGCCTCTGCATGACCAAAGTGGATTTGGCCATATTTGTAGCATAAGGTTTCATTAGTGTTTTCCTATAATGTGAACTTTTGCCTTCTAATATGATTATAAAACTAACCATGCCTAATTTTGCTTTTTTAAAAAAATTATTTCATATGAGTGGAATTATTCAGTATGGTCTTTTGTATTTGCCTTCTTTCACATAGCATTTTGTTTTTGACATTCATCCATTCAGGAATATTTTATTCCTCTTTATTAAACTGAATAGTATGCTACTGCATGTAGTTACCATAATTTGCTTAACCATTCACTAGTGCTTTTCCTGTATCTATTGAACTGATGGTTTTTTTTTCCCTTTATTCCAGCAATACGGTGATTTACATTGACTGATTTTCAGCTGTTAAACCAATTTTGCATTCCCAGGATAAACTTAACTGGTCATTCTCTTAAATGTTGTTGGATTTGATTTACTAAAAAGAACTTTTTTTATTGAGGTATACCTGATGTACAGTATTATATAGATTCCAGGTATACAACATAGAGGTGATTCACAATTTTTAAAAGCTATATTTCATTTATAGCTACTTGAGTTACTAAAATTTTGTTCAAGGTTTTTGTGTCTATGAGGGATATTGGTCTGTAGCTCTCTTTACTTTTGTGGTTTTTCAATGGTTTTGGTATCAGGGTAAGCATGATTTCATAAATTCAGAAGTGTTTGCAATGCCTGTTAAATGCCTTGCAGAACTTTGAGAAACATTAAATTATGCATATTTAAATTGTCATTTAAATATGTTTCAAAAATAAAATAATCTGTTCTGACCTTCTTCAGTCTTTTCTAATTTCCATAACAAATATGGAAGGTGAACTCTGTTCACCTTCAAGCCTGGTTTGAAGGTGGCTGAATTAGTGAGTGATTTGTAATCAGATTTCAGGAAACTATTCCTAAACAATTTTAGGAGTTATTGTCACTAGAAACCTAGAAGGGGAAACCGAGACCCTTAAAGGTTGCCAGACTTTTCCAGATCAGAGTACCTTCCCACTTTCACAGCGCTCTAACACACAGCATTCATTACAAGCTTTTACAGGAAACTATATGAAGTGCCTGTTGTGTATACATTTACCTTATAAAATTAATGTGTCCATCCTTACTCTTTCTTCCTTATGAAGGCCTGCACTTCCTACTGACACAATCCAAAAAGGGAGCGGCAAAACAATGAAACTACTACAATAAACTACAGGATCCTGTGGCTTGGGGGTTACTAGTTGAACTGGGCATGCTCAGTCGCCAGGCAG